ACAAAGACCAAGACTTTGAGGAAGAAGTTTTACAAAAAAATGTAATGCAACCTTGGGAACAGGATATGAAAAAATCCTTTCCACTTAAGCAGTGTGTGAGAGTTCAAATGATAACATGTGTAATAAGATAGGAAGGAGTGAGTAGGAAAATACATTTAGAACTTAAGAGTTGTAATTGTCTTTGATGATGGAACCAAGCTCCCTGCATAGATGAGCCCTGTAGTTTAAGGAATACTGGGGCCCTCTGAGCAATTAATTGAAACTGTGTTATGGTAATGGTGAAGTAGTAATCTGTTAATTGAAAGGGCAGTAATTCAAAGCCACCAGTTGCTCCACAAGTGAAATGTTGTTCTATGCCATTGAATCAGAACCAGCTCTTAAATGGCATTCAGGAGGGTCTTCAAAGGCTATGAATTTCTATGGAGGAGTCTGTCCATCTTTCTCCTGCAGAGCTGCTGCTGGATCCAAACCACATGCCTTTGGGTTGGCAGTACACTCCTGACTATTACCACCAGAGCTCCCTCAACAAATAAAAACAGCTGGTGATCCACCCTGTAAAGACTGCATCTGGGAAACTAAGCAGAAGTTCTACCCTGCGTTGTAGCATCGCCATAAGGGGAAACACACTTGGCAGCACACAGCATGAACACAAACATAATTACAAAGCCCACTGAACCCACTGCCTTTTAGTCAATCCCGACTCATAGCAATCCCCCATTAGGTCTTCAAGGATGTCAACCTTTCCAAGAGGAGACATTGTGGTACATTCATATGATGGAATACTATGCAGCACACAGGAGAATATCCTCCTGTACCAGTCAGATCTGATTTGACGGTACAAGCACACAAAATAAAAAAAAAATTAAAAAAAAAATTACTATCTAATTTGGGAGAGACTGGAGAGCATTATGCTGAATGAAGTAACTCAGTCCCATAAGGACAAGTAGAACGTCTACAAAGATCCAAGGCAGGGAGGGGAGTAGAAGGGTGAAGATGGGTGGGGGAAGGAGAGCACTTAATTATAGGGTCCCACAATTTAATGGGTGGAGTGAAGGGTGGATAAATGAAAGGGGAAAGATACAATATGGGAAACAATGTATACAATCTTTGTAAGTAAACCAGTACAAAATAACAGTTTCATTAAAAATAATTCCTTGCATTGATTCTGTCCAGTTTAAGCAACAATAGCATATAACTCGAACTATATTTGGGGATACTTTTTTGAGGTTTACATTGAGCTAGTACTGAAGCACTTCTAAGTCCAAAGTAGGGGAGCTCTGGTGGCCTAGTCCACTGGGAGTTAAGTAGCTAACTTAAAGGTCTCAACTCTTTAGCAGTTTGAATTTTGGGTCAGCTATGAATGTTTGTTTGTTTTTAAGCCCAAAGTGGTTTTATATGTCTAGAACAATAAGAAAGTAATTGATTTCTAATTTACTATTATTAATGTTTCTATTTAATCATTAATTATTACAAAAGATTAATAAATGCTGAAGTTGCCTTTTAAGCTTTCTTGTCAATTTCTATCAATACTTACATTTTATCTTGATTGTTTTTTACAGTTTAAAAAGTATAATGAAAATCCTGAGGAAATAAGAAAGAGAGTATTTGATATGGTCAATTATGTCAACATGGTATGATATAATTTATTCAATATAATTTTAAAAATTTTATTTGCTATTGGTATTTTTAAAAAATAACAAAACTAAACACCAACTAAAATTTTTAAATGTACAAAGCAGTGATATTTATAACTTCTTTGAATTGTACAATCATTCTCACCTACCCTTTTAAGGTTTCCATCTGTTTTTTGGTTTTTTTGTTTTTGTTTGTTTTTTCAGTTGTTGTAGCCAGTTTGATCCCATATAGATAGACTGTGAAAAAGCATAGTACACAAGGCAGAAATTATTTAGTAATTAGTCTAAATATTTGTTTGGCTTTCAGAAAGCTTTAATAATATTTTTGGTTCAAGTTTTAAAATTGTCTTAGATCATTAGTTTTGAGAGCTCATTTAGCCTCCAAGGTTCTAAAAAGTCTAGATTCCACAGAATTGTAAAACGTGTTCTGAAGTTCTCCCCTTTTAATCAAGATTATTCTATAGAATTTCTCACGAAAAATGTTTATTTATCTATCCAATTCTGATCTCATGGCAGAAGAGGCAGTTGCTTCTAGAAACTATTAGCCATCCATGTCATGTTTGCATAAAAAATTCCTATACATTGTGTTTCCTTTATATACATTGTATTGCATACATTCCTCTATTTACATTGTGTTTCATGTGATTATTCCCATACATTGCTGTTGCTGCTGTTGTTATGTGCCTTTGAGTCGCTTGCGACTCATAGCGACCCTATGTACAACAGCCCTAAACTCTGCTCTGTCTTGTGCCAATCTCACTGTCTTCGAGACACCCACTCCGATTACCCCAGTCTGAGTCAATCCACCTCATAGAGGGTCTTCCCTTCCTGCGCTGTCCCTCCACACTCCCAGGCATGATGTCCTTTTCCAAGTTCCTCCTTGCAACATGTCCAAAGTATGTCAGATGTTATGCTTTATAAAATTACTCACCATTGATCCACGTCCACCATTACCTCACCTTTTCAGTCCCCACTGAATCTTTCCTAATTCCTTTAACCCCTTTCCTCTCTGCTCACCATTCTGTGACCATGTGATTTCCCCCTTCCCCATTCTCAACCTCCCCTCCTCCTCCTCTTCCACTTTTGGACTTTTGAACATGTTTTATGCATAATCCTTCTATTTTTACAATAATTGTTTTATGCAATATTTATCCTTATGAGACTTAATTCACTCAACATAATGCTCCCATTTTATATAGTATTTTTAAAAATCATTGCTACAAAGTATTTCATGAGTGCCACATAGTATTTTATTGTGTAACATACTATACTTTCTCAATCCATTTATTTGTTGATGGACATTTCGGTGTTTCCATTTTCTTTTTATTTTTAATAACACTGCTATGAACATCAGTGTATAAATGTCCATTTATATTTCTGTTCTATTTTCCTCAGGATATATTCCTAGTAATGGAATAGCTGGGTCATATAGAATCTCTATTTTCAGCTTTTTGAGGAAATGCCAAACTTCCTTCCAGAGTAGTTGTGCCATTTTACAATCTCATTAATAGTGTATGAAAGTTCCAATCTCTACACATCCTTCCCACATTTATTGCTTGCTGTCCTATTAAACTTTCCCACTACTACTCAGGAGAGATGATATCTCATTGTGGTTTTAATTTGAATCTCTCTTATTGACAGTGAGACAACCGTCATCATGCAGTGATATAGAAGCAAGAATAGAAATGTTGTTGTTGTTGTATACCATTGAGTCAGGACTGACCCACAGCTGACCCTCTGGTGAGTGTTAAGAGGCAGGTTATAATACTGGAGGAGACTGCCCATCCTTCTCCCACAAAGCAGCTAGTAGATTTGAACCACAAGCCTTCAGGACTGCAGCACAGCTACTTACCAAACCAATTCATTGAGATATCGCATGAAACCAAAACCATAATCTTCAAAATGCCCTAAGGAATTTAGTTATACATAGGCAGCCTTAGTAAATATTATTTTAGTAAATATAACTTTGAACTATCTTCTAGGAAGTTTCATTGAGTTTTTCTATTAATGTTAATGAAGCAGAGGAGGAAATCTAGATTTCTGTGATGTTCTCCTGAGTGGTTATCACAACCTTTTCTACTTTGTGAATATTAATATTGCATGATAGAGAACTTTCTTACCCACTTTTAAATCAATACTCTTAGATCTTTTGAGACTAAAATCTGGGTTTTCTTTGTTTATTTTTTATTGTGATTCTCTTTTTTCCTAAGTATTGGGGTGTGTGTATGGGGGGGAATAAAAAAATAAATCTTAATAAAAAGTTGATAGAAAGAAGCAAAATGGGAAAAAAAGGCAAAATCAAAACCCAACAAACCAAAACATCCACCAAACAAAAAACCAACAACCGAACAAAATATACCCTAGTTTGGAATCATAGACTCTTTACTATAATACTAATGATTTCATTTACCACTCAATATAAATGTGAGAAAATTATCACTAAGTTTAAATTATAGCTAAATAATTCTATCCTGAGAAGCAAAGTAACTTGTCTAGGATCTCTCCAATTTTAAAACCCAATTGTATTGTAAAGTGTTATCTAATTGTCAAAATCTTTATGAAAGGATTACTATATGCTGTCTAGTTCTGATAGTCTATAGGGAATTGTGGTGCTTATCCAGATAGTCTATAAGGAGTTGTGGTGCTTACCCAAAGACTGAGCCTCTCTGTTGATTTGCATCTACCAGGCACTATAAGGGAGAAAGATCAGCAATCTTCTGTGCAATTTGTAATCTCAGCAATCAAAAGGAGAGTCAGGTATAACTCAGTTCTGACTCAATTGCAATAAATGAGTGTTATCCCCTCTAAAAAATATAGTTAGGGTTTTTTATTTGTTGAACGTATAATTGATATGCTTGTTTACTAGTTAAATTATTTTATAGTATCCTACAAATTGGCTAAAAATATAAAGAAAATGAGGATGGCTTTAATGTTATAATTTTTTCCTATCACCACAAAGATTATATACAATCTTTTAAACTCTAAGAATTGGTCTTATTTGATAGGTACCTATTTTGTGCCAATTACTTGTCTAGTTATGAGGATAAAGTGGGAGAAAATTTGCAAATATGTCAAGTTTCAAGGAGTTTACATTCTAGTTCAAGGACAAAAATATAAATAAACAGATAATAAATATTATGCCAGATAAGAATAAGTTGTTGTTGTTGTTGTTGTTGTTGTTAAGTGCCATCGAGTTGTAGGTGACCCATAGTGACTCTATGAACAAAAGTCATGGACATTTGTGCAACTTTCATCCTTTCTCCAGGTTCATAGTGTTTCCGGAGGCAAGCTATTTTGGAAGTGGATGCCAGTCTTGCTTCCAAATAATAAGTAGCATAACGAAAAAAAAGTGATGAAAGACTGTAAAAATTTATTCATCATGGATGTAAAGTTAGATAAGAAAGAGCTCTCTAATAAGGAGAATTTCTGCTGACCTAAAGGGCAAGCTTCTCTGTCGAATTGCAGCATCAAGCTTACAGAATGTAATTGAAATATCAGATAAAGAGAGCAAGAGAATATATAGCTACAAACAGTGCATGGCAGCCATCTTCAATATCTTTCCATGGAACTTAAGAACCTAGGAGGGAAATGTGACAGCAATAATAGTGGCACCCACACAGCTGAAAAGGTCCTATTTCTCCCTTGTCCCTGTGTCCACCCCATCCCACAATCCACCAGGTGAGAAACAGTGTGCTATTTATCCTCTTTCCCTTATCTTCTTTGCTCCAACCCTGATAAGATCCAGATCTAACTCAGCTCACACACAACCCATACCTTCCTGTTCCTAGAGCCAGAAGTTCCTAGAGCATTCTTCCCAGAGCTTGCTATCTGTACTACTTCTGGCCTATATTCAGTCTCCAGATTAAAGAAGGCATCTCATCTGACTGGGAGACACACAATCTTGGACTTGCACAGACATCATCTTCAGCTAGGCAGAGTTGCCTACTTCTCTGAAGTCCACAGAAATTCTGACCAATGCTGAGGGTCCTACCTCTTGTCCCACCGTCAACACACAGTTCCCCTAGCAGCATGTTTGCTTTATTAGATATATATACTTGCTTGTTTTATGATTTGTGCATATGGTTGCTATGTGTCATGATTGACTCAACAGCATATAACAACAAATACATGCACTTCACTTTAAGGAATACACAGGAATCAAACTGACTAGATTTATGAAAGTAATCATTGGAGAAGCTCATCACCAGCAGTCAAAACCAGACCAGGTTACTGACTGTAGAACAGACCATCAACCACTTACATGCAAGCTCAAATTGAAGCTGAAGAAAATGAAAGTAGTCAACAAAAATAAAAACACAACCTTTAATCTATCCTACCTGAATTTAAAAACTATCTCATAGGTAGGTTTGAGCCATTGAAAACAAATGATCAAAGATAAGATCAGTTGTGGAATGATATAAAAAATATCCTTAAAGAAAGCAAAAGATCATTATAAGGTCAGGGAAGAAAGAAAAGTTTAAACTGAATCTCAGTAGAGACACTGAAAATTGCACTAGAGTATTGCGAAGCCAAGCAAAGGGAAAAAATGATGGAGTAAGAATTGAGTAGAAGATATCAAATGGCACCTGGAGAAAACAAAATAAAGTTTATAAGGAAATGTGTAAAGAGCTAGATTTGGGGGTGGGGGGAAGGAAATAACTCACTCGACATTTCTCAAACTGAAAAAAACTGAGAAACAAACTGTGGAAGATTCTGTGGACAAAATTTTGAATAATTCAGAAAGAATAGACAAAATAACTGTTCCATATGAATTGATCAACATAGAATCATTTGACAAAGCATCATATGATCAAAATCCAATAGTAAGGAAGATGTTCAAGTTGAAGTGAAAGCACTGGCAAAAGATAAGGCTCCAAGAATTTATGGTGTACCAATTACCATGATTCAGCAAACAGGTGCAACTCTCAACCTGCTCATTATTCTATGGCAAAGAATTTGGGAGACAGCTGCTTACCAAGTGACTGGAAGAGATCCAT